GAGAAGGAAAATAAAAAGAAAAGGTTGTCCACTACCAGACTTTGTCGTGTGTCCTTCCTGCCGGCCGGGAGCGGACATCGACATTTGGAGGCCCGCCCGGGGACTGATCACCCCCGAGACGTGGAAGTGGACAACGCTCCAGTACAGAGCTGCGAGACAGGTGAGTTGGGGATAAGCCTGGGCTCTGGGTGGCGCGCACCTACAGGGCTTTTAGACTCCCCTCAGGCTCACGCGTAAGTGGCGGATTCCTTGGGCCTCACGCGGTGAGTAACATATTAAAAGATGGGAAACATGTTAGGTAGCAACACTAAGAGCGAGGGTGGTTGTGGAGAAAGCTCTCAAGAGCTTACAAAAGTACGCAGGGTATCTGAGCAGGCCCAGTCAGGGAGCTCCCGAGAGGGGTCCGTCAAGGGGAACAAGGATGCTAAGGAGGAGGACGGGGCTCTAGCCTCGGAGTCGTCTGACTCCGAGGACGAGGGAAAGTTGAATGGCAAGGAGGCCAAAGAGACCAGCTGTCAGGAGCCTAAATCGCTCAATAAGGAGTCGCAGGGTTCTTTTCCAGCGTTGCCCCGCGAATTGCGCTCTGCTCAACCTGGTCTGCGGAGGAGTAGAGAGCTCCTGAGCGCTCCCCGGCGCGAGAGGGAGGCGAAGCCTTCCGCCCCACCTTGGGGGCCGTTTCCGGAGGCGATTCCTCGCCACGAGGCGGCCGCCTGGGAGCTCTCTCCCCTTTCGCCAGAACAGGAAGTGATACACGGGCCCCCATTTTCCGCCCAATCACGGCCGCTGTCTTATGCTCCGCCGCCGGCGGGTCGGTATTTTTACAGGCGGCTTTGGCAGGGGGGACGCTTGTCTCATGAGGTACATCCACCTGGGATAGATAGTGGCCCCTACGGGATGTTTCCTGTACAAGTAGCTATGGGCCAGGGACGCAATGTATGGGAGCCTTTTGAGATAAAGCAGATTAGAGAACTTAAAAATGCAGTTACAACCTTTGGGCCGACTGCGCCTTACACCATTGCCATGCTGGAGAATCTGTCTTCTGGGCCCCTCACCCCCGCGGACTGGATTCAGCTGGCAAAGGCGTGTCTGCCCTCGGGCAGTTACCTGGATTGGCGAGCCTGGTACGCAGAGTTCTCTGCAGAGCAGGCTGAGAGAAATGCCAATCGGGGAAACCGGGGGTGGAACAAGGAAATGCTTATGGGAGAAGGTCGGCACGCTGATGACCAGACCCAATTCCCCGGCGCTGTCTATGAACAAATCAATGCCATAGGGCTCCGCGCCTGGAAACAGGTAAGTGGTGCCGGAACAGCCTCCTTGTGTCTTTCAAAAATAATTCAGGGTACCACAGAGCCATTTGTTGACTTTGTGGCCCGAATGCAAGATGCTGCCGATAAGATATTTCCTGATCCGGGAGTGGCTCAACCGCTGGTAAGACAGCTGATTTTTGAGCAATGTACAAAGGAGTGCAAGGCAGCGATAGCTCCTCATAAGAACAAGGACCTCAACGCCTGGATTAGGATATGCAGAGAGATAGGGGGGCCGCTCTCCAATTCGGGAGTGGCTGCTCTCCTGGCCGCGGCTGTACAGCAGAGGGGACCTCGCGGGTTAGAAGGGGAATGTAAGGCTAGAGGGTGTTTTGCCTGCGGGGAGCCAGGACACATTAAACGTCATTGCCCAAACAATGCAGATGCTAGGCCTCGCCCTAGGAATGAAGAACCATATGTTTGTGGGCGATGCAAAAAGGGATCACACAAAGCTGAGGAGTGTAGGTCGGTCTTTGATGCTCAGGGCAACCGTATTTGTGGACAAGATGCTAGAGAGCCAAAAAACGGCCAGAGGGGGCCCCCTTCACAGGCGGGCCCCCGCCCCAGAGACAGGACAGCTCAGGATGGCAGCCTTCAACAAGGGCCACCCCTGGGTCAGCAGGTGTGGACCTCAGTGTCGCCTCCAGACTTATACAGAAGGTCACCAATAGGATGGATGGCGTTAGGACCCTAAATGACATGCAAAAGCTATTGGGAGACATTAATTGGATTAGGCCATATTTACATATACCAAATTCAGATCTCAAACCCCTGTTCGACCTTCTGAAGGGAGACCCAGATATAGCCTCCCACAGGAGGCTCACTCCTGAGGCAAGAGCTGCCTTACAGAGAGTGGAAAAAGCCTTAGGTGGGGCTACCTTACACAGAATTGAACCAGGGCGACCCTTTGATGTCTGTTTGCTACAGACTAGTCTACAGCCTACAGCGGTGATTTGGCAGAAAGGACCACTACTGTGGATACACCCTAAGGTATCACCTGCAAAAGTCATAGAGCATTACCTGGAGGCAGTCGCTTCATTGGCCCTTGAAGCGCATGATAGAGCTGTCCAACATTTTGGCTCAGGACCACAAGCCATCCGAGTACCCTATACCGCCAGCCAGATCAAGACCCTGGCTGCCTGCATAGATACCTGGGCCATTCTGAGATGTGTTTTCCATGGGGATATAAACAATCAATACCCTAAAGACCCTATCTTGTCATTTGTCACTCAGCACCCTATAATTTTTCCAAAGGTTACTGCCTCTGAGCCATTAGTCCTAGCAACTACAATATACACAGATGGCTCCAAGACGGGGATAGGCGCCTATGTGATCCTAGGCAAGCCCCCGGTTACCATACAATTTAAACCAGATCAGCCTCAGGTGGTAGAACTGCAGATCGTTAAAATGATTCTTGAACGGTTCTCAGAAGCCATTAACATTGTCTCCGATTCTAGGTATGTGGTCAATGCTATGCAAGTGCTTGAGACTGCCAGTTTAATTAGATCCACTTCCACAGTGGCTGGACTGTTCCTGTCTATCCAGACATTGCTTCAGAACAGACACCATAAGGTCTTCACCACCCACATAAGAGCACATACATCCCTGCCAGGGCCCATGGCACAGGGGAATGCGGCTGCTGACACTGCCACTCGCCCGTTATGGATTTTTACCTTACTCACACCAATCGAGCGAGCCCGTGCCTTCCATGATAAATTTCATGTTAATGCCAGGACACTAGCAAACCATTTCCATGTTTCTAGAGCAGATGCACGAGATATCGTGCGACTATGTGACTCCTGTGCCACATACAAACCTGCCATACCGATGGGAGTAAACCCTCGAGGTTTGATCCCTGGTGATGTTTGGCAGATGGACATCACACATATACAGGAGTTTGGGACTCTTAAATATGTTCATGTTTCCACAGACACCTGTTCTCACGTCATATTCACAACAGCAGAAACAGGTGAAAAAGTGTCTAATGTGATCAATCATTGCCTGGCAGCTTGGGCCGCATGGGGCAAACCAAAAATATTAAAAACTGATAATGGACCAGCCTATATAGGCAAAGCCTTCAATGAGTTCTGCAAAATGATGGAGGTTCAATTAAAACATGGTATCCCATACAATCCCCAAGGTCAAGGAATCATTGAGAGGGCTCATAGAAGCCTCAAAGAAATTTTACAAAAACAAAAAGGGGGAGTAGGCCAAGGCCTGGCCCCAAAGGCACGATTATCCATGGCACTATTCACACACAATTTTTTAAATTTAAATAATGATAATCGCTCCCCAGCTGTGGAGCACTGCAACCCTTCCCCCAACCATAAAGGGTGGGTGAAGTGGAAAGATGTCCTGACAGGACAATGGATGGGCCCGGATCCAGTGGTCAGCTGGAACCGAGGCGCGGTTTGTGTTTTCCCACAGGAACCGGGACGAGAACCACTGTGGATACCGGAGAGACTGACACGGGCAACAAAGCCCTCGACTGAAGATCAGACCTGCCCTACTGGAGATCCATCACAGACCAACCAATAAGATGAATAGAAATAGCGGTAGCCCGAAATGGACAAGAAGATCCTCAGGCATATGCATGGCTTGCTCAATTGGCCCACGACCGAGTCTAGATATGGCGGGCATCCCTCATTCTCCTCCATAAGGTGACAATACACAGCAGGGTAGGTGAGTCAATGACGGGTAAGAGCGTGCCTCCCCAGCACGACTCGACCTAAGCCAGGCCCTACCCCATCCTGCACGTAAGCCGCTGGACTGTTAGATGCTGCCCAGGTCTAAATTTCTCTCCGAGGGGATTTCTTTACGGAGAGGAAATGAGTGCAAGCTTGTGTGCATCCAGGTTCCGTCCAGTTTGTGCCTGGCCCTAGAAAAAGGACGAGGGCCTCAGGGCCTTGGCAGACCATGGCATGGCCAACCAGGGTCTAAGCCAAGGACCTACGGTGGACCTACACATAGGGCATAAGCCTCTGCACCCAGTCCAGGAAGGGCTACGATGCGCACATTCATAAAAAATAAAATAGGGGGAGATGTTGGGAGCCGCGTCTGTGATAGCTCGCCTTGCGCGGCGGACGTGCGGCCTGTGGTAAAGAGCAAAGCCTGAGGTAGATTACCCCTCCCATCGAATATGTTAGTTTCCTGCTTACCGCGTAAACAACCCGCTCAACAATATAGTCTGCCTGGCAACTGATGATGTTAGCCAATCAGCTTGCCTTGCTTACTTTAACATGATTGGACACTGTACCCGTATATATACCGGTGCCACCCCTGGGCGGAAGAAGAAGCCAGGTAGAAGCCCAGAAGTAAAAGCCCAAAAGGAGCCGCGGAGAGCGGACCGGTAGAGGCTTTGGGGCAGACTGAAGCACAAAAGGAGCCGCGGGGAGCGGACCAGAGGAGGCTTCAGCTGGGAGAACCCAGGGCAGGCTGTACGGAGAAGGAAAATAAAAAGAAAAGGTTGTCCACTACCAGACTTTGTCGTGTGTCCTTCCTGCCGGCCGGGAGCGGACATCGACACCCAGGCTTGTCTCAAATTCACAACGATCCTCCTGTCTCAGCCTCCCGAGTGCTAGGATTACAGGTGTGAGCCATCACACCCAGCTATGTCTGTATCCATTTTGAAGGGCGGTTTTGCAGAGTACATGAGTCTGGGTTGGAAGTCATCTTTCTTTAGAATCTTAAATACTTAAAAATATGAAACACTTCACAAATCTTCATGTCATCCCTATGCACAGGCCATTCTAATCTTCTCTATATTATTCCAATTTTAGTATATGTGCTGTTGAAGTGAGCACTGTAGATTTGTTTTTAACCAAAAATCTGTCTACATCAAAAAAAAAGAAAGTGTCATAAATAGTGAATATTAAAAAATGATTAGAGGGCAGGCTGAAGATGATGGCTTGATAGGTAGCAGGATAGAGAGCCTCTCTGAGAAAAACAACTCAGATGCTAGAATTTAACATCATGTAAAAGGTAGATAAAAGTAAAGGGATTCTCATGACCCAGGAAGAAATTGAGGAGAAATACAAAGAAAAAAAAAAGAAAGAAAGAAAGGAAAAATGTGGACAAAAAGGTGGAACCAGATCCTCTCACTGGTTCTAGTTCTGCACTGTGATATGTGCACCTTGGAGTTGGACGATTCATGGTTGCACTGAAGTCATGGCTGTGAATACTGGGAATTCATGAGCCCAGGGCCCTTGGTGGGAGGATGTAGCATAACAGAGAGTGGAACCAATGTGGAGAGCTGCATTAATCTGTGGTGAGTGCTATGAATTGGGTCCCATAGAGTGGGTGACTGGCTGATGATATATTGGAGTTTGACAAGATGGGCCTGAACCAAGAACCACAGTAGCATCAGTTAGCCACCCCAGGCCCAAAGAGGACTGGTTGGATCTGCTTGGGCTGGGTCACACCCCTGTCAGGACCCAATTGCCAGGGAAGAAATTGTGAGGAACTTGTAACATCGGCACAGCACAGACTAACACGCTGAGGAGATACTTGTGGGTTGACTGGCTCAGAGGAGTTGGGCCAGCCCATATCATCCCTGTGTACACCTCAGATCAACAGTAAACTGGAGAAGGCAGCAATCTCCTAGCCAACATGCTTCAGAATAACTGTAGCAATATGGAAAGGGCCTGAAACCTCCGCCATAAACCTGTCTGAGAGAAACCAGAAACAAGACAAGGGAAAGAAACAAGAAAAAGCCTCCAGCCACGGACCCAGGGAAAATAATTCCAGGAGAGGCAAATACAGAAGAGATTGAGGGCAACAATCATGCAATATTGGCCACAGTATCAGCAGAAATAAATATTTTCTCCACCTCATAAATGAATTTAAAACTGAAATTCTAATTCAAGTGAGGCAAGATATAAAAAGATTAATAAAATAAATGTTAACCATCTCTCAAGAAGACATAGATGGAAGAATAGAGGAACCCCCAAAAAGGAGAGAAACCTTTGATGAAGAATATAAACAAAATCTAAATACATGAAACAGATCCAAAGGGATTACCAGGAAATTAAAAACTCCATTGAAATCTGGCAAACTTCCTTGACAGAAACTAAAATTAGACTTCCAAAACTTGAAGATAGATTTGCAATATGTGATTTGAAAGAACAGATCTCTTAAAAATAACTAGGAACTTGGAAGTAACAATAAAAAGGTTAGAATACAAGAGAATCTATAACTTAAAATAAAAGTTTTACAGAATAAAAACTGTAAGCAAAGAAGCAGGAGTAAAAACAAATGAATTACAAAATCTATTCACAGAAATAATTAAGGAAAACTTCCCAAACATAGGAAAGTAAAGGATATCCAGATAAATGATGCAAACAGAATTCCAGCCAACTACAGCCAAAACAGATCTACATCCAGACATATAATAACCAAGATCCCAGAAATTCATGACAAGAACAGAATTTTAAAAGCAGTCAAAGAAAAGAAACTGATCACCTATAAAGGAAAACCCATCAAAATCACAATAGAGTTCTTGATACAAACCATCAAATCAAGAAGAGCTTGGAGCGAGGTATTCCAAGCCCTGAAAGAAAATAAACTCCAACCCAGATTGCTGTAACCTGAAAAACTGTCTCTCAAAATTAATGGAGAAGCAAGATGTTTCTGTGACAAAGAGGAACTGTTGGGGTTCATGACCACCAAGCCAACCCTAAAAACTAAATACTGAAGGACATTGTAGAGAGAGAGAGAGAATAAAATTTCAGGATTCCAGCAACAGTGGCAGAGAGGCCTCAATGAATGGGGCAGACAGTGGAATAAAGGAGACAATTATACAATCAACAACAGAAAAATAGCATAGCAGAGATGAAGCAGAGAAGGTTGGCTATAATCTCTAACATAGATGGCCTAGATACATTTTAAAAAAAGAAACAGGCTGAGTAGCTCACGAGATAGGGTCCATCAAGATGCTCTAATTAGGAAATATACTTAACCTGAAAGAGGGTTAATAAACTGAAAGTCAAAGATGAGAAAATGATGCTCTATGTGACAGGGAATCAGAAAGAAATAGGGACTGCTGGTCCAGCAGCTGCAGATAGGTTGGAAAGTCATGATACTTTTGTGCAGTGGAGAACTACTCAGCTATAAGGAAGAAAAATCCTGAGGCTTTAGTAGGTAAAGGAATACAGCTCAAGATCAAGCTCAGGGTTAAACAGTTCAGCACCACTTAGGTAGATAATGCCTAATCTAGAAAGTAAATTGCCCCTCTAATCTAAAAACTAAAGGAGTTAGTGGGACCCAAAATGTCCAAAGCACCCTGAGAAAGGGAAAGGGGAGGGATTGCCTAAAATAAAGGTAGAGGATGAGGACATTGTTAATAATGTATCAGGATTTAAAAGACACATTAGTCTTATTGCTGTTTAGTTTGATTTGATTCTGTTCCAGTCTGTCTAATCATATTAGATTTGAGGGCACAGACAGCTATCCCGAAAATAGCAGGATATACTAAAGTAACTATACTTAATTTCCTATTAACTTAAACTGAATCCCTGTATTACCTTATTTGAATCTGATTTGTTAGACTGATGTTTTGTCTTAACTGATTTTATTCAAATTTGGAATGCTTGATAGTATTAAGTCTAAGAGTAGAGGCAACTACTCTGAAGATGACAAGATGTAATATGATACTCATTCCAGCTTGATTATTTATTGCTTTTGAAGTCGTATAATGTCTCCAATATTGTTTTTATTAATATTGTCGTGTAGTGCTATGTTCACTTATACTGTGCCTGATGATATAGACAATTCTATTGAAAATAATAAGAGACATCATAGTAAGTACTATAGATCACCTAGTATTGTGGTTTTATGTGTCTTTTCCATTTCATATTTTTCTAGGAATTTATTTTGTTGTCTTGCTTTGATCTGTTTTTCACTGTAATACAGAAAGGATAGGTGTACATGTAGAGATTCACGCGTGTAGAACTTCTAAACAGTTTAGGAGAATAGATTATATAATGCACGATATAATGAACACATACTCAGAAGAAGGAGAGACACTAAGAAACCCAGTGCTAATTCTGCAGTGATACAATATACAATCTAGCAATACTATTATTCTTTGTTCAGAGTGATATTCATCTACTTTCTTTGATTTAATTTCAACATACATAAAGGTATGAACAGCGATTCCAAAGAGAATGAGAGTCATTATGGCAGCCATTGAGGACTCCTCTATTGTTTGGTCTTGAAGATCTCAAATGCCTTCATCATCCTGTTCTGATCAGTATAGTACTATATTGTTCAGTATGTATTCACTGTGTGTGAAGATATGGACAACTATTTGGAAGAAAACAAGAGATAATATGATAGACACTGATGATCTCCAGTGGTCTTGCTCTGAAATATGTGGTTTAATTTTATCTTCTTTAAAATAAAAAAAAAATTAAAAAAAACATAACAGATGATTAATGGAACCAAATACTAGGTGAAATCAGAGTATTATATTCATGACAACAATATTTCCAGGTAATTATTATAAATATTTTCAAATAATTAGTTATCTATGTAAACTTTTTATACAATGTACTTTGGGTGAATAGATCAGAAACATTGAGAGGAAAATGGGAGCTATTAAATTAAAATTATAGTACAATAATACAAAGTAACTGTAATGGAAAAACTCAAAAATTAGCTTTCCATTGGATTTGAGTTAACATAAGGAAAAACTATCAAAAACTAGCAAATAGGTTAAGAAAAAATAAAATATTAAGTATTGAAAGAAAAGATTAATTAAAAGATCACAAAGCCGGAGGGATATGAGAAAAAAAGTCAAATATCTTACAAGAGTAATTGACTCTGAATGAGAAAAAAGGGAAAACAGCAGACAAAAGTAACTCAATAGTCCTGAGAAAATTTTCAATTGTGAATTTACAGAACCAAGAAACTCAACAAGCAACAGCAAGTTAAAAATATAACAATGGGAAAATATTATTTTATGATAATAATACCAATAAAAACCTAGAATAAGAAAATATTTTAAAAGTCAAAGAAAAATAGCATTACATTTGTATATGCACATTGGAACTAAACAAAGAGCTACAACTATAGTTGAATTTCATCCAAAGCTATTCAAATTGAAAAAAATTCCATAGTCAACATTTTAAAATTAATTAATAAACCAACCTATAATTTCTAAATTGGGTAAAATTATCCATCAATTCAAAATACTACTTCTGTAGAATTTTATTTTTGCTTTTATTAATTATTTAATTAATTCATTTATTCTTTATAAGACAGTGTTTCTCTACGTAGTGTAACCTTGCCTTGAATTCACTTTGTAGGCTCGTGTGTTCTCAAACTTTCAGTGATTCTTTTTCCTCAGCCTCCTGTGGGCTGAAATTAGAGACTTGCACCACTACACCTAAGACTGTTACTTTTTTTATAAATCAAAAATTTAGAAAGTTAATCGACATTAGACTTATCTGAAGTAAAAGCCAATTTTCTGTCAAAAGAGAACTAAAACACGGATTAAAATTTTCTTGCACATAAAATTACAATAAAATAAGAAAGTAACGAACTTAACTGTAAGTATCCCAAAATATATATTTATAAACAGAAGTGAAAAATCATCACGTGTACTAAAATTTAAAATTTGATATACAATAAATTTTAAATAGCTATATTTTTTCTATATTGAAAGATGCAGCACAAATAAAAAAATAGATAGAGAAATAGGACATATTAAAGAAATGAGAAACCAAAATGCAAGAATATGAATTTTCCTCAGATGAATCCATCAATTTAAAAAACATGCCAACAATAAAAATGCAGACTTTTC